GGGGCATATGATGGCCACAATCCCATATATGGTAGAAGTGATGGCAGACAGGAAACTGAGGAAAATACTCTGTGTGGTTCAAATCAAAAGCACATTTGAGTAAACAGAAAGGATAATTCAGCAGTGAAATTAGTCTCAACACCAGAGACATTACTTATTGGGGAAAATAATGTTTCACATCTGAAAAAACACGTGGTTAGAAGGCTAGAATAGTCATCACAAAAGTGTTTTTGTACTGAATTCACACCCTTAATGGTTTCTGTTCAAAAATGGAGCTCCATGAGCTTCACAGGTGTCAGCTTGCTTAGGGTTCCCCTGGGCTGGGACTGGACCACAGAGGAGGCAAGGAAGGGCCTCTGGAGGCAACTGTCATCTCCTCTACATCTAGAATCTCAAAACCGTGGCTGGAAACCTTGCCCACACTTACATTATCTCCTCTAAAGAACAAGGCATGCTCCCAAATGCGTTAAACCCAAGTTAGCACAGCACTGTCCCTTATCCCTTACACATTAAGAATATGCAAAGAAAGACACCATCAATAGAACAAAAAGGAACCCTACAGTACGGGAGAATATATTTGTAAATGACAGATCCAATAAAGGCTTGACATCCAAAATATATAAAGAGCTCACATGCCTCAACAAACAAAAAACAAATAATTCAATTAAAAAGTGGTCAGAGGAACTGAACAGACAGTTCTCCAAAAAAGAAATACAGATGGCCAACAGACACATGAAAAGATGCTCCACATTGCTAATTATCAGAGAACTGCAAATTAAAACTACAATGAGGTATCACCTCACACCGGTAAGGATGGCTACCATCCAAAAGACAAACAACAACAAATGTTGGCGAGGCTGTGGAGAAAGGGGAACCCTCCTACACTGCTGGTGGGAATGTAAATTAGTTCAACCATTGTGGAAAGCAGTATGGAGGTTCATCAAAATGCTCAAAACAGACCTACCATTTGACCCAGGAATTCCACTCCTAGGAATTTACCCTAAGAACGCAGCAATCAAGTTTGAGAAAGACAGATGCACCCCTATGTTTATCGCAGCACTATTTACAATAGCCAAGAATTGGAAGCAACCTAAATGTCCATCGGTAGATGAATGGATAAAGAAGATGTGGTACATATACACAATGGAATACTACTCAGCCATAAGAAGTGGAAAAATCCAACCATTTGCAGCAACATGGATGGAGCTGGAGAGTATTATGCTCAGTGAAATAAGCCAAGCGGAGAAAGAGAAATACCAAATGATTTCACTCATCTGAGGAGTATAGGAACAAAGGAAAAACTGAAGGAACAAAACAGCAGCAGAATTACAGAACCCAAAAATGGACTAACAGGTACCAAAGGGAAAGGAACTGGGGAGGATGGGTGGGCAGGGAGGGATAAGGGGGGGGAAGAAGAAGGGGGGTATTAAGATTAGCATGCATGGGGGGGAGGGAGAAAGGGGAGGGTGGGCTGCACAACACAGAGAGGACAAGTAGTGACTCTACAACATTTTGCTAAGCTGATGGACAGTAACCGTAATGTGGTTGTTAGGGGGGACCTGATATAGGGGAGAGCATAGTAAACATAGTATTCTTCAGGTAAGTGTAGATTAAAAATTTAAAAAAAAAAAAGAAAGAAAGAAAGAAAAGGGGGATTACTCCTTAACAGGATAAAACTATTGGTAAATCAAAGATCAACGCATGCTTTAAATATCCTTAATGTTGATCACTTAAAGGGTGTCAGATGATCAGCTATGGAGGTACTCTTTTCTGATAATATTCCTTTCTCTTAATAAAAAAAAAAAAAAAAAGCAGTTACTGTGTGCTGACCTCCAATGAGTTCTGCACAGTGGTATAGAGGGCATGTCAAAGTGTGGGCAAAGGGTCTGTTTGTTTCTACGCAGAAGATCAAGGCCTAGCTTGGATACCCAGAAAATGAACTAAGATACGATATGAGGAGGAGCTTCCGGCATCAGCACTCTCTGGAGGACTCGTGCCGGGGGATGATCATCAAAAAGCCTCCACAGGGATCCGGACGATGCTGCGGTTGTGGCTGCATCCAGCCCACCGTCTCCTGGACTTGCCATAAGAAGGAGGAGGGAGATGTCTAGGCTGGCATGTGCATACAGTGAGACAACGAATTTGACTGGATCTGTACTGTTGGAACTCAACCAGGAGTTGGGAGGGGTGCAAGTTGTAGCACCCCAAAATCTCATGACTATAGACTATCTATGGTTAAAAGAACATATGGGATGTGAACAGATCCCAGAAATGGGCTGCTTTAATTTGTCTGATGGTTCAAGTACAGTTGGAAAATATCCATCATATCATAGATAAATTTTCACAAATGCCTAGGGTGCCTAAATGGTTTTCTTGGCTTCACTGGAGATGGCTGGTAATTATAGATTTGCTTTGTTTATGTCACCGTATTCCTATTATGTTAATATGTGTGTGCAAATTAGTTAGTAGTTTAAAACCTATACATACTTAAGGTACTATACAAGAAGATATGTCAAAGAAATAATCAATCCTCCCAAGTTTCCTTCATATGCTACATCTATAGCTTTTCTTCTTCCTTCCTAATTACAACCCTTAAATAGAATTCGTGCCTCATATCGAATTTACCGAGTATCATAATTCCTCCAGGTGGTAAAGATACCTCGAGACAAGTGCTGGGCATAGAAGCCACAGGGCATAAATCTGCAAAGAAGTAAAAAGCTAACCTTTGCAAACAATATGGCTTCTCTCTCACTTACCAACTTTACATTTCCCTGTATGGCCCCGGAAGATGACTGGTTAGCCAGAGACGGGTAAGATTCCTCAAGGGAGGAACAACCTAAGACAGGCACAGTCGCAGGGGGGCCATCAGGTGAGAATTTGGGGATCAACAGAGGTGAGGCTCAGAACCTCACCCCCCCTGCTTTGAGAGAAATCTTCTGCATCCGTGGATGTCTTGCTGCCCTTGTCTAGCCTGGATTAATACTTAGTCCATAGGCACACACCTGATCATCTGATCATCTACATTTGCCTTCTTACAGCACTAAACTATGTTTTCTACCTTTATCTTGCATCTACCTACCACTTCAGCATTTTATTAAAAATAATAATAGTAATAATAATAATGGAGAATGTGGGATTCACATATAAATCAAGTATAAAAATCAAACAAATATTCATATTTGACCTGATTGTTTATAGTTCATAATGCGTGATCAAAACTGAAAGTTTCTGTGATGACTGCCCTTGTACTGTTCACCATGTAAGAACTTATTCACTATGTAAGAATTTGTTCACCATATAAGAACTTGTTCCCTATGCTTCAGAAGATTGGAGACTGGCGAGAATTAGTCTTGGGGTGGATTAATGATTGTGCATTGAGCATTGAGTCCCCTATGCAGAATTTTATTGTTGTTAACAACCATTTGATCAATAAATATGAGAGATGCCCTCTCATCAACAACAAAAAAAGAATATGCAAAGAGAAATGATGACAGTTCTCACACTGTAATTTCAAATAGCAATTTCCCTATTATATAGTTTTTAATAGTGAAAGATTATTTCTTTTTGTCAAGGTAAAAATGGAAGAAACACTCAGCTGCTCAGTGAGGCAAAGTTAAAGCATTCTGCAAAAACACCACTTTTGGAACAGGCAGAACCCCTGGGCTACCAATTTATGAACACACAACTAGGGGTACAAGACAGCTGTCTTGTCAGTGATTCATGCCCAGAGAAGGATTTTATTATTTAAACAAGCTTTAACAATAAATGCTTTATGGCAAACCATTTTGTACGACAAGGGACTGAGGGGAATGAAAAGAGTACATAGCTGAATCAAACACGGCCCTCCCTGAGGCTTTCACTAGCTTTCTTCTGAAGCTGCTGGGCACATCATTTCTTTTCCACTTCTATTTTATAAGTAGGGATCTTGGTTTTCTGGCCATACCTGCAAGATTTGTTAATCAAATGAATTCCAGTCCTGTCATTGTTATCTATTGAACCTATGCCAGCATGGCCTCGCCAGGGGCTGCAAGTCTCCCTTGTTTGGATATTTTTTCCTGGTTGAAAACTCTGTGCTTAAAATTTAGTTTCCTTTATCTTCATCCTGAGAAAGCACAGTCACTGAGAGGGAACGAACAGCATTTGAAGCCTTTCTGGGACCCATGGGGTGCACTAATTAACCTTCACCTCGAGTTGAAAACAACTGTGCAAGTTCATGCTGGAAAAGTCAAGGTTGCCAGTTATGCAAAACCACCCTGTGACTTCACCCACTACTGCCTTGGAAACGCATTCATGAATGACTGAGTTAATGGTTGTGGCAGGTGTAAGTATGTGTGAGTGTGCTTGTGAAATTGTAAGGATTTGCATGAATGTGTATTTGTGAGTGCTTGCTTGCATGTATGTATTTGTGTGTATTTTTGAGTGAACATGTGTATTTGTGTATACATGTGTGTGTTTGTGTATGAATCCGTGAGTTAAGTGTGTTGTGTAAGGGTGTGTATTTGTGTATAGTTTGAGTGTAAATGCATGTCTATGGTGTGTGTGTGTTTGGGTGAATGTGTGTGTATGGTTTGTGAATGCGAATGTGTGCATTTGGGTGTGTGTTGTTGTGTTGTGTATTTGTATATGGTTTTGTATAGGACTGCACACTCTTCGTATATATGTGAATGCATAATTTCCTGTGTCTAAGTTGCTGTGTGCAAATGTTACTGTGTGTATGAGTGTGAGTTGTTTGTGTATTTGTGTGTATGTGTATTCTTGTTTGTATGAGAGTGAGCGTTGTGTGTAATCGTGCAGATGTGCGCATCTGAGTGTTGTGACCGCGCGCTCGTGTGAGTGGGCATTTGTGTGTACAGAGTATACATGTATATTTCTGTATGTGTGCGAGTGCGCGTGTGAGCAGCTCTGCGCTGCCGCCGCGCGCCTCCACTGACCCGCGACCCGCCCCAGCCCCGCGCGGGAGCCCAGGCGGCGGCCGGCGGGGCGGGAGAGCGCAGGCAGCGCGCTCCGAAGGACGAGCGGGCTGCGCTGCAGTCACCGCCGCCGCGCCGACTTTGCCCTTTAAATCGGTCTGCAAGCCGATTACAGCTGATCTCCCACGTGACGTTTTACCTTCTGTCTCCCGGAGCGAGTTGCTCGAGGACAGTCCTCTTTCAACTGCCGCGCATCGTGCCTCCCCAGCCAGCCTCGGGGGCTCCGGCTCCCGCAACTTCGTGCCAGGCAGCGGCCGGTGCCGGCGCCCTCACGGGGCCACTCTGCACGCGGGCGTCGGGGCTCGGGGGACTTTGCTTGGCCAGGAGGGCGGCGGTCGCGGCCGGGAACGTGCCCTGGCCACAGCCGGGCGCCCTTCGGACCCACGCGACGCCGTGCTGCGGAGGCCGGCGGGGTGCCCTGTGCTCTGCGTCGGGAAAGGGGGCGCCCTTCGCCAACCGAGACCGGAGCGGGCGCGCCCTGGGGGAGCCAGCCGGCAGATGGCCGTGGTGGAGGGCTGAGCGCCCGCGCCCTCACCATGCAGAAGAGCGTGCGCTACAACGAGGGGCACGCCCTGTATCTGGCCTGCCTCGCCCGCAAGGAGGGCACTAAGCGCGGCCTCCTGAGCAAGAAGACAGCCGAGGCGAGCCGCTGGCACGAGAAATGGTTCGCCCTCTACCAGAATGTGCTCTTCTACTTCGAGGGCGAGCAGAGCGGTCGCCCGGCGGGCATGTACCTCCTGGAGGGCTGCAGCTGCGAGCGGGCGCCCGCGCCGCCCAGGGCCGGTGCCGGGCCAGGCGGCTCCCGGGATGCCCTGGACAAGCAGGTACCACGCGTCCTCTTGTTGTCCCCGTGCCTCCGGCCACGGCACTCCCTAGCTCTTCAAACCTCAGAGATCTAGGGCTCCACTGAAACAGGGACCACACTACAAGAGCCGAGGTTCCCTGCGGCGTCAGTGGCAGGACAGCTCCATGCGCCTCCCCATCTCCAACTCCCTCTCTCCCCCACCTCCACGTAATCACTTGGAATAGAACTCGGCTTTGTTTCTTTCGCGACCCTGAAAGCGTTTGGGTCTTTTCACCTTCGTTGCTAACCATCCGTTGCTTCCCTAGACCTTGTTTGGAAGGATTTAGTGTGGTGACGTGTGTTGACACCTGTTGGATTTAGATTGGCGAGACGAAACTAACTTTTTTGGAAAAGTTTGGTTTCTCCCTTAGCCCGCTGGTGCGTGTAGGTTTCTGTGCCTGCAGATGTTTGATCGCTGGTTTTGCAGGGAGCAAGCGGGGCTCCCAGGACGCACGGGCACTTTCTGTTGTCCATTCGATCTGTCTTTGTGGTTTATGTCCGTTTACCTTGCTAACATTTGACCTGCTGGGTCAAATTATGAGGTAAATGTGTATCCATATCCCTCAGGATTAATATTTGGTAGCCACATTCCTGGTATGTTTAGACGTGTGGTCATTTTTAAAGAACTCTTCTGTGTACTTTCAAATGAATGCTTTGAAAATGAATGTGACCTTTTTATTCTGGATTGTAGTTTTATTTCTTTTGCTATGTATGCACGCAGGGAGGAAAAAACCCTCTAGATTTAGTAACTTCCACCCCCCATTCCTGCAAATGTGAAATTTGTGTTTTTTTTCAATCACCATTTGTTATTAAAGTTAAAGCAGACTAATTTTATATTCCCAAATGTTCTCACTTCCCTTCTAGATCTCCACCTTGAAAAAAAGGCTGATTGTCTTTGCTGTTGCAAAAAAATATTTTACAGCTGAATTTTCCTCACAAATCAGACCAAACAGCTTCTACTGCAGACCACGAGGGCGGCTGTGGGAGGCGCTAGCGGTGGAAGGATGAATAAGATGCCTGTATAACACCTTAGGGCTTATAAAATAATGTGTAAAATTAAGAAGAGTTAAAAGTAGATCAACCAGAAGTTTAATTTTTTTAACCCCCACTTTGGTGTCACTAGAAATCATTAACAGACTTAACTGTTTAAACTTGCTACAATACTTATAAAGCTGAAATTTAAAAAACATCTTCTTTGGTTTTTGAGGGTCTTGAGGGCCATTTGAAAGACTGACTTCCAATTTTGTAGATACATATACTAGAAATATAAGTTTAAATTTCAAATCATGCATTTTAGAATTTATATTGAGATCAGGAGAAGGGTTTTGAGGAAACAGAGATTTTCCTCAGGATCTTTTTTTTTTTTTTAGAGGTATGTGTTCCAAGGCATCACAGGAGCCAAAACTAGTAGTTTTTTAAAAATGTATTCTGTCTAAAATAAAATAGGATACTTTAAATTACTCTGAATACATATCATTGACTTACTTCCAGAGTATTTTTTTCTCTTTGTATTTATACTTATATTAGAATAACCACGTTCTCTTTTTTTTTGATCTGGTGGGTGAAGAGTTGTTACCTGTTGCAACTTATATAGCTGACTAACATTCTAGAAAGAGAATATTTTTCTGCTTGGAAAATATCTGGACTCTTCATCTTCAGGACACTTTCTTTATCCCACTTAACATGAAATGTAGCCTCCAAATAATTTGACTTTTGTGCTGCTTTCTAATGGAAGTCCTAAACTGGTCATTTTAGAAAAACAATTTTCTGTTTGTCATGCAAGTTATGAGTATTATTTCCCCATCATTTTATATATCTGTAAGAGGAGGTTAGAAATTAGAATCTTTGAAGTATGTAGAGTAACTGAGATGTAAAGAACAAGCATCCCAAAATGGATTACGAGTTGAATTGGGAGATCTGTCAAGTTTTGTCTTCTGTTAGGTGTGTTTCTGTGACTAGCAGATTGATACTTTTCTCTAACACTGCCTGTCTGGGTGTGTCTGAAGAATTAAGAAACTGGGAGGATAGGAAATAAGAAGAAACATTCTACCTTAAATCTACAGTTTATGCATTTGATTCCCTTTCAGTTAATTTGTGTTGCTAATGTGCTCCCATCATCTCAATCCCCTACACATGGTGGACCTGTGGAACTGGTGGAACTGGCAAGGTTGGGGGTGGATGTGAGGCACTGATCAGGGACCATCTCAAGATCTGCTTCTCCAAGAATGCTTCTAAAGCTTTCCATAGCAATATCTCCATCAGTCCCTGTAAATATAGTTGAAGGTTAGGGCTTGACATAGGACTTAGGGAGGCAGAGTGGGTTTCATCCAGCACGTTTTAGTGTGACTTTTTAAGGCAAATCTCTTAATGTTTCTTCTTTTTTTTTCTGTTAATGAAGTATTTCTTAATATGTAAAAATTAGAAGTTTGGTTAAGATGATTTCCAGTGTAAGCTTTTTGCTGTGTAGAGGGTGTGAAAGACAGTTTCACAAGATTTAAAGATTACCAGCCTGTAATAAATACTACATTAGAGAAGCTAAGGATAAACAGGTGACTGATGTGGACATTCTGATAAATCAGTTAGGTCAACAGATGTGCAAATCTATAGTAACATCCTTACCTGAGATAGAGACAGTTCCATCATACTCATTGGATGGTGACATATTGTAATGTTGTTGACAGTTACTATAGTTAATGTAATTTTTCTATAAAATGACTCTAATCATTCTGGCCAGTTTAATTTCTATTTCTTCAAATAATTCTAATTAGTTATGTTTTTAGATAAGTTATAAGAAAAAAACACTCATTGGTTTAGTTCTTCTAAATAATTCAACCTAAGTTGGTTGACAAAAGAAAAAAATAAAGTTTTTTTAACCCCTTTGTCTTAAACTGTTTCCAGTTAAGAAGAAAAAAAGGCAATTTTCACTTTACAATGTGCCTAGGTTGGAGGCTTTTTGCATTGCTCCATTTTTTCAATAGTGTCCAAGATTTCACTTTGGTCAGTCCTTGGAGATTGTACTGCTTTCTTACTAACCTTCCATAGTGCTACATAGGGATAGTTATGGTGGTATAATTAAAATGAGTTAGTTAAACAAAATTTAGGTGGTGTTCCTTTTCTCCAAATGTGTATGGTGGCACTTCTAAAAAGGCTCTTTTTGTGGAAAATGAACAACTTACTTCTTTCCGAATGAAGTTGTTTCAGGGTGAAGGGAATTTGCATTTAATAAGTACCTTCTATGTGCCAGGCTTGGTATTATCCTCCATGATCTTGTCTTCACTTGAATCCCCTTTCAGCTCTTGGAGATTGGTAGTACTTTTTAATTTTTACATATGACCACACTGAGGCTGAAAGAGCTCTAGGGAGATGATCAAAGTCAAACTACAGGTATGAAGGCTGAATGATCATAATGAGTGTCTTACTAAGGAGACTATTTAAATCCACTGAGCTTCAAGAAATTTCACATCTGGGTGGGATGGGGATGGGGTGGTAGTATATGAATCACTGTTTTGTTTATTTCTACTTCCCTTTAAAAATTATTTAAAGGATGGTTGCCATCCTTGAGAAATACAATGGCAGACCATTACATTTTCAGGGAAAAATGGGATTGATGTTTAAACAAATAATTTTACATGGCATTCATTTACCTCAGGAAGGGTCTTTAAAAATATTTGCACTTAGGGTGCAGGTACACCTCCCAGTTAGTCTGGTTTATTCCTAAGTGGCTGTGTCTGTCTGACTGGCTAGCAGGAGAGACATCCAGGAACAAAACTATCTTTATTCTTATTGTCCTAGAAATGTTAAGTGTTCTGTTCAGCCTGATTTCAGTTGTTTGAGGGCAAAACGTCTTCTTAATTTTGGAAGTTTGAAGTAGTAGGTACTTGTCATATTTGTGTTGAATTAAAAATGCTGATTTAATTTTAAAGGGATTAAACTTTATGTGATTTCCCCATCACCTTATTATTAGTCAGTCATTTTAGTCTTCCTATTTTGACCACAAGCAGAAGATTTTAATCATTTTATAAAATTAGGCAGAGCTGCCCTCAAGTCCTATTTTGTGTAGGATGAGGAGTGTGGATGGTGGATTTTCATTCTAGTTCATGTTGTTTAACTGATGTGTAATAACCAACTCATTATTTGTTTTTAGTCTTTGTCTCCTGAACACAAATAAAGGAAAAATAGAATAAAAATATTTGCTAAATCTTATAAGAGGTTTTAAAATATAATTTAGGGAAGAGAATGATTACTTGAACTTTGTAATCTTTCTTTCCTTAAATTTAAGTGATGAAAAATAATTTGTTTTAACGAACTTAGTTACTTTAAATTTTGGCTACATCAAACCTAACTATATGATTGTACCCATCAAAAATTCAACATAAAAGGATCCATCATTGATGTGACAGATATACATAAAATTCATTTTTATTGTGACAAGTATTTTTTATAGATTTAATAATTGAGAGCTACATGCAGTCTTAAATGGTGGAAAATATTTGTATTGTGATAGCACAATTTTTTCCTTCTTTTGGGAATTAAGAAATAGAGATATTTTCCTTTCATTGAGTGATGATAAATCCTAAAGCATGTGTGATAACCAAATGTTTCTGGGTTTAGCGAGCAAATGTTAAACGATTGTTGATATTGCTGTTTGTTTATTGCAGATTTTTTTAGGCTGATTTTGTCCATATTTTTCAATAAATAGTCATACTACAGTCAACATAATTTTAATTTTGTAGAATAGAGAAACTGACTCTTTAAGATTATTTTCTAATGAAATAAGCCAGATGGACAAACAGTACAGATTTACTCAGGGCTTATATCCTGATTTTCACAATTTTAAAGTAGCTTTGTGCTTTTATGCCTGTTCATTTGTCCTATAAGAAAGGGGTGTGTGTGTATATGTGTGTGTGTTCATTGAGTTTGTTATCGTCTATCATTAAGTAGTAAACATTGTTATACAGTTATATATATGTTAGAATTTAC